ACTATCAGTGGGAGATGATGAATAGAACCAGTGGGTACTTTGAACGGTTGACTGGTCAAATTATCTACAAACTAATTTTGCGTATAAAGTATTACCTGTATGGTATGTACAGGTGTGTAGCTACTGCTGATGGTATAGAAGAGAATGCTACATCAACTCCAGCACTTGTTACTGGTAAAAGAATTGTTTTTTCAGAGCTAGGGCTATAAAGCCAATTGTCTTGATGTACTTATGCTGTGTAGAAAGTTTGAGCCAATTCCGAGACAAATTTTTTGAGTTATGACCATTTTTTAAATTTGACCAAAATCTAAAAAAATCCCTGTACTTGCTCTAAAAAATGGCTCAAAAAATGACTCCCAATTTTTATTACATCTTCTAATACATAGTAGTCAAAGAGTTTGAGTCATGAACTTATGATTATTGTTAATCTCTCTCCCTTATAGTATCACCCCGTGGCAGTGTAGTTGCTGATCCAGAGTATCGTACAGTATCCATTGGTGATACTGCTAACTTTACATGTGGAGCTCAAGGTGGACCTGGGAACATGTTTCGATGGGTCAAAGGAAACTTTACTGGTCCTACTTTAACTGCTCCTCTTAATGTCAGCCAATTCTTGAATAGTTTAAGCATTTTTCGATCAGGCTATGAACTCTCATTTACTGTGAGTGGAGGAGCAGCAGATGGTGGCTATTATACTTGTATAGTAGTCAATGAAGCTGGTTATGATACTGATAATGTTAGTTTGCTAGTGAGGCCGCAGATAGTCACGAATCCATTGCCACAATATGCAGAAGTTGGAGATAATGTTACATTAACTTGTGAAGCTGATTCCTTCCCAGCCCCTAACTATCAGTGGGAGATGATGAATAGAACCAGTGGGTACTTTGAGCCTTTGACTGGTCAAACTAGTTACGTATTAACACTGGAGTCTATCAGTTATAGTCAGTATGGCATGTACAGGTGTGTAGCTACTGCTGATGGTATAGAAGAGAATGCTACATCAACTCCAGCACTTGTTACTGGTAAGGATTATGATAATTGTAACGATTGAGTTATAATGATTTCTCTTCATGATTCACCTTTCATTTGCCTTTTCTTTTTTGTTTTCTCCTTTATAGTATCACCCCGTGGCAGTGTAAATGCTACTCCAATGAATCGTACAGTATCCATTGGTGATACTGCTAACTTCACATGTAGAGCTCAAGGTGGACCTGGGAACATGTTTCGATGGGTCAAAGGAAACTTTACTGGCCCTACTTTAACTGCTCCTCCCCTTAATGTCACCCAATTCTTGATTAGTTTAAGTATTTTTCGATCAGGCTACGAACTCTCATTTACTGTGAGTGGAGGAGCAGCAGATGGTGGCTATTATATTTGTATAGTAGTCAATGAAGCTGGTTATGATACTGATATTGTTATATTGTTTGTGCCACCAGTAATAGTGTTAAATCCAATAGATCAATATGCTCATCCAGGAGATACTGTTACCATTAGTTGTATGGCTGACTCCTACCCTCCTCCCACCTATCAATGGCAGGTATTAAACACTGATACTAATATGTATGAAAATATTCCTGGTGCAACAATGTCCAGTTACACCATTGAAGACATTGATTATGATCAGTTTGGTATGTATCGCTGTGCAGTAACTACACCAATCATTAATGAAAGAATATACTCCCAACCAGCACTGATTACTGGTGAGTTATTGATTCATTAAATACATGTCATACGTTTATTTTTTCTACTTTTTTTACTGCCTTTACATTATCTTTCCTTTTCTCTACAGTATCTCCTAATAGCAGTGTCAGTATTGATCCTGATTTACACATAGCTGATAATGGCAGTGACATTACCTTTACCTGCTCAGCTAATGGAGGCCCAAACAACACATTCCTTTGGGTCAGAAGTGATGAATTTGAAAATCTTATAAGTCTAAGTTCTATTCTACAAAACCTTCCATTTCAAAACACCATTTCAGTACAAGACGTAGTAGACGAACTATCTACCATTACTTTAGAAACTGGCACTACTTTTAGCATTTACAACATCAATGCGACGGAGGACGGAGGTGAATATCTATGCATAGTCCTTAATGAAGCTGGTGTTGATTCAAACAACACACTCCTCCTTGTACGGCCAGTCATCACATTACAGCCACAAGAAGTGCTCACTGTCGCTAACGTCAGTGTATCATTGAACTGCCTTGCTGACTCTTTCCCAGCCCCTTATTATCAATGGAGATACACACCTGCTAATGGAATGCCTCAATTAGTACCTGGAGCTAATGAATTTACACTGGTGTTCCCTTCAATAAATTATGAGGAGTTTGGTCCGTATGTTTGTATTGCTTCTGCTGATGGTATACAAGAAACTGCTACCTCAGATACTGCTGTTGTTACTGGTAAGGAAAATAGCTTGATTTTATGTACTAAATATGCTACTTATGTATTACGTGATGTGTACATGTAGCATTTGCTATGTAATTATTACATTTGCTATGTAAATCTAAATGTGTCATTATGTACTAATATTGTGCAATCTAGTTTTAGCAAATTCCCAGCAAAAATTAGAAAGTACTGAAAAAGTAGTAGAACCTAAAATTGATCAATATTGAATAGTTGTTTATTGATAATATTTCTGCTGAAGCGTTTTTATAATTTGTTTTTTTTAAATTTTAGTGTCTCCATTGGGTAGTGTATTCATTACTCCTCAAGTGAATAACTCGTTTGAGAATCAAAATGTAACTCTGGCCTGTGGCGCTCGTGGTGGACCTAACAATGGCTTCCAATGGAATTATACTAGAACTGGAGCAATAGTGGGAATGGATCCTGATTATACATTAACTACTAGTGTAGAGACTGCTGGATACTATCAGTGTATTGTTAGTAACAGAGCTGGGAGTGATGATAATACTGCTACTGTTAATGGTAAGGGAGGGAGAGAGAGGGAGGGAGGGAGGAAGAGAGAGAGGGAGAAGAGAGAATGTGTAGATAAAACATAGTTTTAGTTGATGGGTACATATTGTATTATATTAACTGGGGGAGGAAGGGAGTGGGCTAATACAATGTAATAGAGCCTGTCCAAAGAATTCTAATAATGCATCATACTACACCCAATCCTGTACACACAGAAGCATAATTACAACTCTGTACGTAATAATGAGAATTACATGTACAGCTCGATTAATTCATCATACAGTTCAGTACATGGTTGTTGTTGTAATGCTTATTTGTAGTAAATTTTGTGCACGTATGCTCGAAAGTTTGACTTTTTAAAGCCGCAAAACTTATAGTCATCATTTATTTACTATTATAACTCAGGAAAAATATGTAATTTTTGTTTAAATATAATTATTATTGAAGAGTTCAAGTATTAAATTTAAAGTAGTCAAAATATGTGGTAGCTATTAAGAATGAACTATGGCCCCATGAAAATGACATTCTTATCCACTTACCTAATGAGGAAATGTGATACATTTAGTCCAAACTTATAACTCAATTAATCTTACTAAGAAATGATAATTAAACATATCTCTCTACATCACACACACACACACATATTTTATTCTCTATAGTTGGTCCAGTTATTACAGTCAATCCAGTCAGTATCAATGTCAGCATTGAAGTAGAAAATATCACATTAAACTGTACTGCAAGAGGATTCCCTGTACCCACCATTACATGGGCACACAATGAATCACTGATTACATCAACTGAAGATGAGATCTTCATATACACTAACCCTACCTCATATCTACGGACTGTATTAAGTACAATAGTCATTAACTCAGCAATGGCTAATAACACTGGGGACTATGTGTGTATAGCTAGTAGTCCTTTCTATAATAGTGTCAATAGTACAGTGGCACTGGTCCTTGTTCAAGGTAATGTATGTACATGTATATGTGTATGTACATGCGTAAAATCTTCTTTATTGGCATAATTATAAAGGAAGTATTTACTGATAAGCTTGTTGTGTTAGCTATGCTTGTTGTTGATGTGATTATTGGCATGCTACCCAGTGTTTGGTATAGTTAGTGTCTTGTTTTTGCCTTCAATATAAGCAGTGATGCTTATCATACTTCAGCTTAGCATGGACTTGCTATAATAATGTATACACGTATGCTGATGTTATGCAGAAATATGTGTTCTTATCTATGACTGTGTCAACTTCTTTGTAAGTTTCTAAACTTTATTATCAAAGGGTCAGAATTCAGCCATTGCGTACATGAAGTAATGTAATTGCCACAACTTCTTTAAAGTATTATTGTGACTCTCTCTCTCTCTCTCCCTCCCTCTCTCTTTCTCCCTCTCTCTCTCCCTCTCTTTCTCTTTCTCTTTCTCTCCCTCTCTCTCCCTCTCCCTCTCTCTCCCCCCTCTCTCTCTTCCCTCTCTCTCTTGCTATAGATGTTCCTGACATACCAGTTAATCTCAGTACCTCTGACGTTACCTCTCGTAACCTAACCCTCTCGTGGGACGAACCCCATCACAACAATGCTCCTATCCTTGGATATGATGTTGCATACACTGAGCCTGATTTCTTAGATCGAAGGAGCATAGAACTAACTGTTAATGGATCAATAGAGACTCTGTTTATTGATGGGCTACATCCAGGAGTTACCTATAATTTTACTGTCAATGCATTCAACGAGGAAGGAGATAGTGGGTTTAGTGAGCCGTTTACTCAACGTACTCTTGAAGAAGGTAATTTAGAGTAATGATACCAATAATAAGAAATATTGCTTTAAAATTGTGTGTATAAGTTTTAATAGAAAATTTGTGGCCAATCGTATGTAAAAACTTTTAAAAACACAAAAATAATCGTTAAAAGTTTTATTCCACTTTGCTCTTCAAACCATTAAAAATTGTTGGATATATTGTATTAATAATAGTTAATCATCAATCTAATATTGATATTAATCCTAATGCTTTCTCCTATAGTTCCCTCTGGATTCCCACAAGGCCTCTCATCCTCCACAATAAACTCCACTGCAGTTAATGTCACGTGGATGCCGGTACCACCAGCTCAAAGGAATGGTATTATAACTGGGTATACAATATTCATCACAACTGATGTAGAATTTGTCAACGATACGACTCAAGATATAACATCAGCAGCTACACTGCAGTACACATTCACAAGATTACAAGAATATGTTAACTATACATATACTATACTGGCTAGGACTGCTATTGGGGATGGACCTATTAGTGGTAGTACTACTAGTCTCACTAATGAAGCAAGTGAGTATACTACAGTGGTTATACTGTCACTGTATTAGTAGTAGTAATTGTTACTAGTAGCAGATTGGCATTTGTACTCAGTGCTATTAGTAGCAAATACGACTAATGTTTGTAATGTTACTTTGTATAATTTAGATTTATAAAACTAATTAAGTGAGTTTTATAAAAGTTTGGTTGTGTTGTGTATAATGTGTTCTGTTATCACAATCGAAGTTTGTGTGTGATTTTATAGTTCAGGAAAATTAGCCACTTTCCATGATTTCCTCCCATTTTGACCTTTCTGTGTGTGTGTGTGTGTGTGTGTGTGTGTGTATAATCTGCTTCTGTTTGTGTCAATTACCTTTAAACTTTTCTTTTTCTCTATTTAATTCCCTTTTAATATATTTTCTTTGTTATTTCTCAGCTCCTGCAAGTCCACCACAAGATTTTACCGTCGACAACATAACCTCAAACACCTTCACACTCTCATGGTCTCCTCCAATAGAGCGAGACATTAATGGCGTCATTGATCTCTACACCATCAGATATTTTATCACCGAGCAACTAGGAGTGGACCCTGTTGATCCGTCAATCAATGTCCGCAATGTATCAGCTACTAGTGTGACATGACTGATCTGGTAATACACAGA